TAAATAAAATGATGATGATGATGATGATGATGATGATGATGATGATGATGATGATGATGATGATGATGATGATAATAATAATAATAATAATAATAATAATAATAATAATAATAATAATACCACCATCAAGTCAATTCTGATTTATGGCTATCCTTTACAGGATCTTCCACGTAGAGAATACTCAGCTGTGGATTGCCATCCCCTTCTTCTGGGGACATCCTGGGACTGTGCAGCTTGCCCAAGGTCACACAGGCTGGCTCTTCTTGCTGGAGGCACAGTGGGGAGTAGAGTTCCCAGCCTCTGGCTCTGCAACTAGATAGCTAAACCACTGAGCTATCCAGCCAGCTGAAAAAAGGGGATATCTGCCTAGAAAGATCTCAACTTGATACTTCCCACATCTGCCAAGAGATCCAGTCCAGTGGGTTACGCATTCCTAAAGCTTCTCTCATACAGTGCTCTCCAGATCTTCTGAAGGGCATCTTCTTCAACCATATCTGACAGTAGCAAATGGTGGGGCATGGTGGGAGTTACAGTCTACATCTGCAGATCACTTTGTGGAGAAACATTCGATTGAGGATTATGATGACAGCTGGACTTTGATCCCATTCCCTGAATACATTTCAAAAGGAGGCAGAATTTAAAGCAAATTAGAACACTTTAAAAAAATTTATTTCAATAAATGTTTGACTATTTGCTGACACCATGTGGCCTTTTCCTGTCGCTACACCTATCTTCTTTGCCTATGTAGACATAACATGTACAACAGAGCAGCATACAGTAGACTACGGGGATGTATTTGTTTGTTTAGAAAGTAATATTTTATTTAAAATAAAATCATCCTGCATGTTGCTAAAAGCAGTTACTGAAATATACAGAGACGAGTATATAGAAGAATCGGCCAATGAACACAGATTATATCACATAGAAGATACCCAATTAGAATAAATTTAGCTGTCCCGTCCCCCAACATAGTTTTTAGACACTCAGAAAACTCCCATTATACTAACATGTACAGTGTATACCATCAACATCATAAACATTAAAATACTTCTTTCTGTCTAAGACTTGTTCTGGACCTATAAGAGTTCATGGTGAAAACAATACTGTTTTAAAAAGAGAGTGGATGCCAGAGGCCATGAGCTCCATCAGGCTTTAAGTCGCCATTTCACTCTCATTGGCCTCTGGATTCCCAAAAGTTATAAAATATAGAGATTCAACAGCTGAACCACATACAATGGGACTATTTAGCTCTCAAGCACAGTCCATGTTTCACTTGTTCCCTCAGGAAATGAACCCTTTCCTGAGAGGACCATCTCTCACGTCTGAGAGAAAAGGCCAGCACAACCATTTAACCACAGCCTAACACTGTTCCTCCATGGGGACTGGCAACATCAGACAAAATGCTTTAGCCCCATCCAGGCTCCTGCCTATCTGATTTTAATGCATAAGTGATTAGTTATGGATAGAGTTAGGGTTAGAGTTTAAGAGTTCGTCCAGTGGAGTGTGGTAAATGAAGACCTGGGCCTACTGTTGTGAGTTGGGTTTATATGGTTGAAAATCAATGAAAATCCAGCAGGGAGGTAATCCTAACTCTCACCCTGTGCCCAGGCATTCCTCAGTCACTCACTGGTTTATAACTCTAGGTTCAACCCCTCCCTCTTAGCCAATTAGAAACTGTGCCATTTGTGTGCCCCTACAAATCACTGAGCTTCCTTTTGCATTCTTGTGAAAATGCTGAGATTTTAAAAAAGTACTTGCCACCCATTGCTGAAGAAGTTCCAATAAATGCCCGAGCTGAAGGAGGCTGACATGTCAGAAGCTTATAAAGATGCCTGACTCCTCCCAGGAAAAGAACAGAAGCCTATGATTATCCCAGGAAAGGGTTAATGCCAGAATGAGACCAGACAATCAGTGACAAGCAATTCCAAATTCATCTGGGTATCTCATTATTAGTGTCTTCATTGTTACAATAATTCTAATATTCTTCAAAACTTCCTATTTTTACAAGTTTTATTTATTTACATTATTTCTTGGTTCCATACTTGGAAGTAGCAAATCCAAAAAAATATCAAAGATAGTTGCAAAGATAGTTGTGCGGAAAAAACTGCAGGCACAGATGCTTAAAATTCTATAAAAATGGAACTTAAGCTTTGGACAAATACTTAAGTCAGAATATACAATTGTAAGCTTGTAGGTATACAAAGTCCAGATAAGAACTTTAGTTTGAATCAAAAAGAAAGGAGCTTATTTAAAGGACATATTTTAAAAAGCATGTTTAAGAGAATACCTTTCTGTAACACTTCATTTAAAAGTAAAAAGCAGCATAACTCCAAAAGCTTGAAAAGTTTTCTTAAAGATATATGAAAGAATATCAAAGTACTTATAAGAAAATATAAAATGAAAAATATTATTGAGCCTCTAAGCATATCTACACACACAAAAACCTATTTCTAAAAAGAGAAAAGCTCACCCAGTCTTGGCCAGTTAGAATCTATGACTATGTCCGAAGTCTGATGCAGCATTATTATCTCTTTATCGCTCTAAGGATGTCTGCCTGGCTTCAGTTCCATTCTCTATCTTACTCTCTCTCATTCTCCTTAGAAAGATTGATCTACATTCAACAATGGTGTGGGTCTCCCATTGTGCCTTCATGACACTCTATTTGATTTCATCCCGTATTTATACTTTAACGAAACCAAAACAACCTGTCTTATCACCAAGGCCAGCACATCACTGATAAAACACATTGCTATGAAAGCAATCTTATGTTAGAGCTTATCACTGGGAGTGTGTTCCAATGGTACAATTAATCTATATTCCTGCAAAATTCAGGGGGACCTCTCTGCGGGTAATGCCTGGAGATGTAGATCGCATTAATACTGATAGATGGTGTTATAGGATAACATATCATTTTACCTCTTTTCAAAGCACTTAATTATTACTAATGATGATGCTAAAGCCCTATAAAACAAATGACACATTTCTTTCTCTTCACTACTCTTCACTGCTACTACAGTGGTGCCCCAACTTACGAACTTAATCCATCACAGATGTTCGCAAGTCAAAATGTTCGTAAGTAGAATCAGCATTTCCCATTGAAATGCATTGAAACCCGATTACAGTGGTGCCTTGCATTACGATGTTAATTCGTTCCAGGGAAATCACTGTAGAATGAAAATGTCGTAATGCGAAATTAAAAAGCACATAGAAACACATTAAAACCCAATCAATGCGTTCCTATCGGCTTGAAACTCACCGTCCAGCGAAGCTCCTCCATAGCGCGGCCATTTTCGCTGCCTGTGCAGCGAAGAATCCATCCCAGAAAAGAGTGGGGAGCCATTTTTTTTACCCGGCGGCTATTTTGAAACCACCAATCAGCTGTTTTAAAATTGTCGTTCCCCCATTGGAAGCATCATAAAGCGATTGCTTTTGCGATCGCAAAAAGTTCGTCGTAATGCGGTTTCATCATTAAACGGGGCACCCGTCTTGCGATGCACCACTGTAATCCATTCCGGCTGTTTTTTGTTTGTATGTAGAGGCGCTGGTTTAATGTCAAAGCATTAGTTCCCATAGTAACTAATGCAAAACTGGTTAATCCGTCCTCTACCACTAGTGGGAGATTTTTTTTTAACCTAAGATGACTTAGGTTAACAAAAGGGGCAGGAAAGAAGGGAAGGGGTTTACAATGGGGAAAAAAGGAAAGAAAGAAGGTCATCACTCGGGCACACAGGCCCCTCGGACAAAGGTTTTTAAGCACAAAAAGAAGACACACCGAGAGAAGAGGTTTGTGCTTTTAAGCACAAAAAGAAGACACACAGAGAGAAGAGAATGGGGGGGGGAAGAGTTTGGAGTCTAAAACACATTTTAAACCCAAACCTGCTCAACCCACACATTTTAAACCCACACAGCGAAAATGGCCCCGCTATGGAGGATCTTCGCTGGATGGTGAGTTTCAAGCCCATAGGAACGCATTAAACAGGTTTTAATGCATTTCTATGGGCTTTTTAATTTTGCTTTACGATGTTTTCGTTTTACAGCGATTTTGCTGGAACTAATTAACATTGTAATACGAGGCACCACTGTAATCTGTTAAAGGTTCTATAGCTCTTCCCATTTGGCTAACACAGTTTTCATGTATATTTTATGTTGTCTTTTTGTTAATTAATATTATAGGTAAAACACAAGTGGCATTTCAAAGTCCACTTCACTTTTTTGCTCTTGTTTTCTTGCTCACATTAGATCATTGTTTTGTTTTTCTCATGAAAACTGGCACACAAAACTGAATGAGCTATTTCTGCCTTGTTATTTTACCAGTAGCTTTGTTCGGAAACCAGTGAGGTGTTTTGGTTTTATAATATAAACTTTCTTCATGGAGCACATTTCCAATTGTACTTTCACTTTTCTCAGCAACTTCCGAGACATGTTTTTAAAAGCAATTTTCATTCTTAGTGCAACACCCTCCACCCCATAAACTCAATTTTTTGGAATTATTGACAGACAGTTCAATTTTTCAATTTCAATTCAATTCAGTTTCAATTCAGTTTCAATTGTCATTGAACGTATATACACATACAATGAAATTCAAAAGAACACTCAGAGACCAGACCAAACATACACACACATTCCTAACAATCCCTAAATCACAGAACCCTGCCTAAAGTTCATAGTATCCACACAACATACATCAGTTGAAGTTCAAATGAAAACCAAAACCTCTATTGGAAACTCGAATAGCTGAGCCCCAGGGAGGGCTCAGATCAAGCTCATTGAGCTCTATTCCCCATCCATTTGACTAAACAGTTGTATCACAAGCAAAGTGTGGCTAAAGGAGAGTGGTGCATCACGGACAACGTTCTAGAAACTTTCTGCTCTTTCTTTTGTATAGCTCTGTTGATTCTTTGTTTAACTTAAAATCAAGTGTGTATGTGAACATGGGATGCATGACATTCTGTTCTGCAGGCTCTGATTGAGTGGTCAAAATAGCATGACCTTGTCCCTGTCTTCTGCATTTTTCTACTTTGTTTTATTTTTTAGTGTATGCTGCTGGCATTTATTTGCAGAACCCTTTTTTCGCCTTGTGGTGTCTGTGAATATTAAAAAATGGGTAGGTGCCAAACATGCAGCACTTTGACAGTTTACATAGTGAGTGGGCACATTCAAGCAAACCAAGCTATTAATTGGAGACACTAAGGGGGAACCCCGAACAACCCCAACACATGTTTTTCTTCAACATCACTCTCGGGGGGTGCGGAGAGGAAACTGGTTGGAACTTTGCCTACACTTCCACATCCCCAAAGGTGATGGTGCTGTGTAGTGGCCTCCCTTCTAGGTCAGAGCCCTTTATTTTCCAGATGTTCTCTCCCCCCCATCCATAAACATAAAAAGGCAAAAATATGTCTGCAGAAACCTGAGAACAATTCAGTTCAAGCTACTTGCAGAACAGCTAGGCATGGAGCTGTCCCAATTCATATGACAAATATTTAGACACAAATTGGATAGGGTGGTATTCCTCATTGCTGTTTGGCAATTACACATCTGAAAAAGTATTTTTAAATAGTTATTCTCATGATTTTTCTTGTTATAAAAAAGATATGTACTGTATAATAAAATCTTTGGATAGGAAATGTGATATAGAAATACAGATTACAACCAATGAGTATCAACCACTTTTCATAGACAGTAGGATTAGCTCTTTTGCTATTGATTTTCAGAAAAGGTGTATACATTGAGTTAGTTATGTGGATTTAAATGTGTGTTTCCCACTGTAGAGCTGAAATTACACATCTGAAAAAGTATTTTTAAATAGTTATTCTCATGATTTTTCTTGTTATAAAAAAGATATGTACTGTATAATAAAATCTTTGGATAGGAAATGTGATATAGAAATACAGATTACAACCAATGAGTATCAACCACTTTTCATAGACAGTAGGATTAGCTCCTTTGCCTTTTGCTATTGATTTTCAGAAAAGGCTTATACATTGTGAGTTGGTTATGTAGATTTAAATGTGTGTTTCCCACTGTAGAGCTGAGTTGGATCCACATGTTCGGGATTGTGTTCGGACCTATATTCGTGAGTGGCTTATCGTTAATCGAAGGTAAGTTTGATATTTGTAACAAAGAATGAAGGCATTGATTTCATACTTAGTTTTCTTGGTAGAAGAATATTAACATGTGGCATTCTGACTCATTGGCTGAAATCATGCAGTTTTACATAGTGAATTCACAACAGGGCCTATAGAATCAGTGAAGATTTAGTAATTCTTCTGTAAATTCCATTGATTTAAGAGGCCTACTTTAGTTGTGATTATACTAAGCAGCAGGATTTCAGCCAATATGTAAGCAATTGGTAGGTACAATGCTTATTCTCTGATAACTGCATTCTGCAGGCTGTATTGACAATTTGCATGTTATGCCTTAATTTGACTGGGGCAGGCTCAAACTTGGATCTTATTGCAGATAGCCATAATGCAGGTAGCAGATGCACTGTAAGAAACTCTGATGTACATGTATTTTTTTCTAGCCACTGACTAAAAAGTGATCATATACTTGCTGATCACATTGCCTGTTTCAGATTGTGTGTCAGTTAAAGCAGCTGCTTTAATGATTGGTTGTTATGTTATGAATCCATTACAATACTTTCAGTGTCACAAGGATATTAACTGGAACACGAAAGGTGTAGAAGTGACAGAGCTGGCAGAAGTTTGCCCAAGAGTGTCCATGTGAAGGCTCTCTTGGTGTAAAATGGGTCTTGTCATTATAGTCATCATGATTTCTGTAATGCCAATAGTTTTATTTCAAGCCATATTCATTGCTATTTTTACATGTTGAATAGAACGCATGAAGAGGGAGGATATGAGCCCTGCCCTCTCCCTCATCATTTCTGTCAGCCTCCAACAGACAAATGATGACAGGTCTGAAGGACAGAAACCCCATTATCCATAGGGGCTTTTTATATGAGTTGGGCCCTGATATTCCAAAATTCCAACACATGTGGCAGGCCTTTACAAATAGGAGAAGCTCTTGAGTTCAGAGCGCTGTTGTCCACATGTAGGACAGTAATGAAACTAGAGACTGAGGGGGTAGGGCTAACATGCTATGTTCTTCCTGTGTTGTACCAGTTTATAAAAATAGCAAGTGTTGGGGCTAATAAAGAGGTATTAATTCGTGGAAATGCACTGTAGCATCTGTGGAAATGGCACTTGGTTAAGGCCTCACTTCCCTGGCTGGGCACCTGGAGCAGAGGAGGTACTGGAAAGTCAAGGTGCACAACATCTAAAACCAGGCAGGTCATTATGGCACTCAAGGCTGATATTCCAAGCACCACTCCTGCTTCCTTGCTGTAAAATTGTAACAAACAACTACCAATTTTTCGCTCCATAAGACGCACCTTTCCATAAGACGCACCAATTTTTTAGGAGAGGAAAACAGGAAAATATAATCTGTTTTCTTCTCTCCATAAGACGCACAGACTTTCCACCCCTCCTGTTTTGTGGGAAAAAAGGGCGTCTTATGGTGCGAAAAATATGGTAAATAGCAATTTGCTGTGTTTTCAGGACACTGGTGCCTGAGGATGGCTTAATGGTATAGCTGGCTTATAGGTATCCTCTGTATCCTGGTACATTTTGGAACCTGAGAGTAGCAAAATATTCACAGTTCACAAATGTATTGTTTTAGTCCTGCAATAGGAGCAAAGCTCACGGATGTTATAACTTCTTAATAAAACCACCCAGAGCTCTTGTCGTTCCTTCAGTGTAATTAAAAAAGTTTTCAGGACAAGGTCACACTCAAAGGGAGCAGGGATGCCAAGGAAGATGATGTCAGCTTTATGGCTTCATATTTCATTCTCAGTCAACCAAGAAACAATTAAAATTCCAACAATTAAAATACAAAGGGTCTATAATTCATCCACTCCCAAAAATGTAATAAAAAGTATTTCCGTGATCAATAATAACTTACTATGGCTATTTGTTATGCAAGACAACAAAGCATTCAGGTATCTAGGCTACTTCTTTGGAAAGAACACCACATAAATTACAGTGGGCTATGTCGGTCTGTTGCAGCAGAAAGAACAAAAATCAACACCTTAAAGGCTAACAAATGTTATTTTGCTCTAGGCTTTTATTTGGACTTTTACAAAGTGTGTATCTCATGACATTGGCTGTAGTCCCAAAAGTTTAGGTCAGATAAATATGGATCTTTAAAGAGACATTAAACTGCTTGTTTCTAAGCAAAGTAATATTCCCAGGGCATCAGAATGGAAGCAGATCTGCTGATGGCACTGGGGACACATCCATGCCTCCATTAATATCTGGTTGGTGAAGAATTCACGAAAGGGCAAAGCCGGTTGTATTCAATGATTGACCTGTTGCAAGTGTGGGAAATGTATGAAGTTTCGAGGGGGTGCTATAGCCCAGAGAGGGATGAGAGTGCTTTGACGTATGCTTAGCAGATCCTGGTTGTGGTCATCAGGGAAGTAAACCTTGTAAAGCAGCTACACAGAAAGCTGGATGTTATATAAACTGCTGCTGCTTCCTGGTGATTTTTCCAAGTTCATCCACACTATTATATTCTCATTCACTATACTGTACACAGGTGTAAATGCTGGACAAGAAAAAAAAGTTGACAGGGGAAAAATGATTTGTTTGAAATATGGTGCTAGCAGGAGAACTTTGCAGATAACCTGGACTGTCAGAAAGATGAAGAAGTCGGTCCTAGAGCAAATCAAACCTGAACTATCTCTGGAGGCAAAAAAATGATACAACTCAGGCTATTCCACATTGGACACATTATGAGAAGACAGGATTATCTGGAAGAAATAAATAATGTTGGGAAAGTTTGAAAGGAAAAAAAAAGACAGAATAAATGAGATATAAATTGCCTTCCTAAAGGACGCTCCAGCCTTGAGCCAAAAAAAAAAAAAAAAAGACAGAACAAATGAGATATGAATTGCCTCCCTAAAGGAATCTCCAGCTTTGAGTTTGCTGACCCGGGCTGTTGAGGACGGGACATTTTGGAGATCTCCATTCATAGGGTCGCCATAAGGTGGAGGCGACTCAATGGCATGTAATGCCCTAGAGACATAGTAGTAATGGTATTACCATGAATTCATACTCATGTTAAACATATCTTACGTATATTAATTTCTTAGGTCTGTGTCATTATATGCATGCCATAATAGTTCAGTCAGACTATCTTATTTGGGGGTAGTTCGTTTTTAATTTGATTTTGTTTAATTTTTTTTACTGTAAATTAACTAGCTTGTTTTGAAATTGAAGGAATCAAGGAAATAATGAGACATATACGTTTATGAAAAGGGGATCCAGAAGAGATTTCCACAAGACTCTTCAAAAGCAAACATTTGAATCTGAAATTTTGGATTACTGTGATTCAAGTTATCAGGTATTCTTTGGAATTATTTTGACAGATCTCTGTAAACCCCTGGAGTTGAATAGGGGAGAGGGTTGGCATTTGTTCAGTTCTTGTTTGCTATGATGCATGTTGCTTACCCAATATTTAATATGCATTTTTCTCAAATATTCAATTAATTTGTAATCTTTATATTAAGTATGTGGTGGAAGCAATTCCATATGTCAAGGCCTTAATGTGAGTGGCTGCCTGCATGCTCCCAATACTCCACCCACCCCCAGTTTTCAAGTTATTTCTATTGCTTGTGGGTATACAACAGTGCTGAATTAAAGCACTCAACCTTTATTTTTGAAATTGATTTGCATTTTCTGGATGCGATCCAAAAATCTCCTAAAATATTGGCTAGCTATTTTGCCATTTTGCTACTTTGTTGTTTTATGTTACTTGTTGTAAACCGCCCAGAGTGGCTTTGGCTGCCAGATGGGTGGTATACAGATCAATAGTAAATAAATAAATAAAAATATTGGGGGCAGGCCTCTTTCACTCCAGGAATGCTTCCGAGGAAAGCGTGGCTGAATACTAGCATAGTTCTGTTCTCATTGGGGAATTCGGTTCCATTTTAGAAAGATATGAGGCTGGAATGCTGAGGGCTATGGAGCTGCTGGATAAAATGATACAACCTTTTTTCTTTGTTAAGCCTTGACCACCTTCGCTTTAATGTCAAACCTATTCTCCCCCACCATCCCCCAAAGTTCATATAATGAACTTTGCATCTCTGCAAAGATAGTGATATTCCCCTTCCTCCTGTGAGGTAAATAGTTCTTATGGGATAGATGGCTCCTTGAAAGCAGTAGTAAAGAGGAAGATTATTTGGCTTGAACATCTGATATCTATTAGTCTGTGCTGGGAAATGTTTATAGGCGTTGCTGCTGCAGAAAAAATCTGAGTGTGTTTTAACATTTGTGAATTCAAGTGCTTAGTTCTGTTCTTTGTTTCATTTCCTCTGGAGCAGGCAGGTCCCAGGCTTCCGAAGGTCCTCTGTGATGAATCCAGTAGAGCCACGCTGACATCTGGCGATTTCGACCTGCGCAGTTTACAGCCTGATCCGCGTCTGACAAACCTGCTACAGCGCGTTAGTGCAGAAGACCTTCGAAGGCAGAACGAGGAGGCTCGACGACACAGCAGACCTACAGAACTGCTAGCCTTATATCCCAATATAGATGAGGCAAGTTGTAAATCTTGTGGCAATCACCACTGCAATCACATATGCTTTAAAACAGGGGAGGAAGAAACTTGGCCCACATATAGCGCTCCAAGTTTATTTGGAGGCAGAACACTTCTGCTGCTCAATTTTATACAGTATTTCACTGCTAAAATACGGTAGTGTCGTGGCAACAAAAAGTATTATTTTCATAGTGCATTTTTAATAGCACAGGGAACGCAGTGCACATGCCTTTGTTTTAAAATGTGACATGACTTGCAAACGAAGCAGATTTACTCTGTGTGCCTTGATTTAAATGGGGAAACTGGCCCTTTCTTGCCAGTGGTGTATTGCCACCTGCAGCAGAGGGTGGGCTGCGGTAGCCGTGGGCTATAGGGGATATTGTGTTTCCTCATGGCACTAATGTTCCACCTCTGTTTTAAAAGGGCCTATCCCATAAAGCTCTAGTAAACCTCTCTTTTTGAACTTATGCCAGAAGAGTAGACCCAAAAGGCTTTACCACTGAGTTCTATTCCAGCTTTTTCCCGATTGGCTTCCCTCTAACAAGGCACAATTTTCTTGCAACAGGTCCATCCTGCTAGCACTGCTTATGTTTCTGTTTTGCCCAAACTGGCACAACAGTATGACAAAATGCCAAATTGTATTTTAGAGGAATCAAGTCTAGTTGACCACAATTCTGGCTGCTCCTTGCATCTGACCGGGACTGTATAGAACTCATGTATGGAAATGAAGAAAAAAACCCCATAAGTTATTGAAAATAAAAATGCAGTGTGACTTTATGCCAGGCAGAAAATTGCCATCTAAGTGTTTGTGGAGAGCTGAGATAATTATGTGGCCAAATCCAATCTGATTCAATCAGTACTTATGCAAACTGATTTGTCCCAAACTGAAAAGAATAGTCTGCTGTGGCTTTGTGGGTCAGCTGCAACATTCCCTCTAATTTTCCACTAGTGCAGGGTGGGAGATCCGCCCCACGCCTGCAGCGTACAAGCTACAAGCAGAAGCAAATGGGCAAGCAACACTGGCTTAGCTGTGTGGCCCCGATGCAGTCCTGTGCAGCTGTGTGGCTTAGAGGGAATGTTGGTCAGCTGTTCTGTTGCCAGCCACTGCTGAGTATTCTGTTCCTGGAAAATCCTGGAAAGCGTTGCCATAAGTCAGAATTGACTTGACAGCACGTGATTATTATATGCTTTATTTGCAAATTTTTCACTATTAGGTTCCATGTGGACAGCTGAAACTTATTGCATAAAGCTTTTAATAGATTCATGCATTGCCTAGCAGCCAGATTTGTTATAGTAATGAACTAGAAGACTCCTCAGGACATTTCCTGTCTTATTAGCATGCGAAAGTCTGGAATACTGCATTCATGCTGAAATTAACCATTCATGTGAGTTTTGTGAGGATCAAGGAATGGTACTCTGTTCTTAAACATTTGGTATTCATTTACTGATTTTTGTGACTACAGATTGTATCCTTCTCTCAACCCACAGCCCATAAAAACTTGCAAAAAGACTTATTCAATTCACTAAGTTAAATTTTAGTGATTAAATTAATTCTGATGACTTCTGGCCCTATGCTATATATATTTGCTTCTTGGTTGGCCTATCATTTTGTTTTTATATAAATACTGTAAGACATGCTTTTATATCATTTTATGTGATAAAAATCAAATAAGAATGGGAAATTTAGTATGTGGACTATAAATTCAACAAGTAATAACTAATGTTACTAGTCCCACTTGTTCATGGCAGGCTTTTTGGTTAAATATCCTGAAGGAGAGAATATATCACAGTTTTTTTTTAATGTGCAGTTTAGTTTATGATTATTTCTGTTGTACTAATAAAACAGTGACACTAAATTCTTCAACTGAAAGAACTAACTGATTCATAATATGCTTAATAATAGGAGGATGCAGTGGAAATACGCCCAGTGCCTGAGTGCCCCAAGGAATATCTGGGCAATAGGATATTGGTGAAAGTACAAACTCTGAGGTAAGTCCCTCTGGTTTCTCCTGATACCTTGACTGGTTTAGACAGAGCTCCATCATACGATTGTTAGTGATTAAGACAAGATACACGCATACGGCAAAATGAAGTGGGAGTTTCTGAGATAGTAGAATGGACCATATGCTTTCTGACTGCAGAGGTGGGATACAATCTATTGATGGCTGTCTATGCAGAAAAACCCACACAGTTGGCAAACTAACAGAGCAAGCAAAGGACAGGTGTAGAATTTCCTTCTATAATGTTCTACTTAATTTTTACTGCGAATATTTTACTGTGTGTGGTTGGGAAGCACTATTTAAAAAACCCATGTGTGTATATGAATTGGTACAAAACATGCTACTGCCTTTGGATTCCAGCTTTTCATCTCCACCTTCTACAGATATATGTGTACAATCCAGCCTGATATTCTTGCAGTCAGCAAAATTGTCTGTTGTAGAAATTTGCTAAAATGTGGTTTCATGCCATTTGCCAGACTTGTGTATGTATTGTATTGCCTTACAAATTGTTCTTCCATTGATTTTAAATTGAGCCCATCCTTCTGATATTGTATTGCCTTACAAATTGTTCTTCCACTTGATTGTAAATTGAGCCCATCCTTCTTCTGCGTCTTACTAGGTTTTTTTAGATTGTGAAGGGCATGAAGAAGCAAGGTGGGTGGGAGAGGAACAGCCTTGTCAATTATTCATTTGCTAGACCAGGGGGCAAGCCCGGTCACAGAAAGATCTCAGAAAGAATGGGCTCCACACCATACGTATTTGGTGCATATAAATGGCCATGACTTCTTTGGTTAAAAATGAATCACCTTGGCATAGCACAGGGCAACAGATTCAGGCATTAGCTGGCTTAGTTGCCAAGCAGTGCACTACTCCAGCCTAGCTGTTGAGAAACCAATAGGATTGTGGGATCCTGAATGCCACCCGGGTATTTGGACAATCAGTGGATCATCTGGGGTGAAGGCAAGAGCAGCCGGTTCCCAAGCTAGATTGGTCCATGCCTGCTTTCACCCCCAACTGCATTGGGATGTGGTCATGTGGCCCCAAACCCCAAAGCACCACCTCAAATAAATTTGTGATATAAATGCAGTAGCTTAGCAGAATGCAAACTTTGACACCCCCTCACCATCTGTTTATAAAACCACAAGTACCCAATATCCATGTACAAAGTGAAAGTTTATGGCACCACCTCAAATAAATTTGTGATATAAATGCAGTAGCTTAGCAGAATGCAAACTTTGACACCCCCTCACCATCTGTTTATAAAACCACAAGTACCCAACATCCATGCACAAAGGGAAAGTTTATGTGATTATTTAAAATATTTTCACACACACACATATATATAAAAAACAGTAAGGCACAACAATCCATTGAAAACTCCACTCAGGCAGCCAATCATTAAGGGAAAGCCTGCCTGAAGAAAAAGGTCTTTGTCTGCTTGTGGAAGAACAGCAAAGGTGGAACCAGCTTGGCCTCCTGTTCCAAAGTCTAGGAGCATTTACAGAGAAAGCCTTCTCCCGTGTCCTTGCCGTACGTACCTGTGAAGGTGGAGGGACCAAGAGAAAGGCCTCTCCTGATGACCTTAACACCCAAACATGCTCATAAAAGTCCTTGAGATCGTTTGGACCCCAGCTGTTTAGGGCTTTATACATTAGAACCGGCACTTTGAATTGTGCCTGGAAAGAAGTTGAACAGGGAAGCTTGAAAGCCAATTGAACACAGCATGTTGACCTGCAGTGCTTTTATGGTACAGTAGTAGAAGGGAGGGAAACCTTCTTCCATCTGGTGCACATTATGATGTTCATGTCCCTGCCTAGTCGTTTGCATTCTCATTGGGTGGCTAGGTATGTGAAATGATGTTGGGCCTCTCAGAGAGAATGTTCAACAGAGAGCCAGCCTCTGTTTTTGCTGCCACCACCGCTTACTTCTTTTCCCCCTAAAAAGTTACTTAGAGGGGTGGGGTTCTACCCTTTAGGGCTGGTTTTAGCTCCGTGGTGAAGTTCTTTAGAATTACTGACTCCTTTTATGCTAGCAGTCTGTCTCAGCAAGGAAGATTTGAGACCTACCTTGATCCAGACTCAGATTAGGCAGTTCAGGCAGATCATCCTGGGAGAAAACTCATCGGCCTCGGGGAATCCGGCTTTTCACAGACGTTCCACCAAAACGTCTTCACAGTACTGTACTGTTGCATTCTATTTTACTTTCATATATTAAACAATTGTTGTTTAATTATTAGCCTGTTCGCAATCTTCTCTTTTATAGGTTTGAGATAGAAATTGAGCCATTATTTGCAAGCTTTGCCCTCTACGATATCAAAGAAAGGAAAAAGGTAAGAGGATAGCTGAACAAAACTGCAGTATGTAGAGTTTAAAAATTCTTAAGTGAGTAGCACATTGGTTAACAACAGCATTTTTCATTGCAAATTAATGCCATTCATATCTAATTTATGTGATTCACAGTGAGGATTGTACCCTTGTGGAGAGTGACAGGTATTTGTAGGATACATCAAACCACATCTTATTACCTGGCCAAATGTTCTGGCAAACTTTATCAGTGATCTGTCTTCAATTTAAAATGTGAAGTAGGTAGTAATAGCATACAATCTGCTTCACAATTTAGCCAGATGCTAGTGCTAATGGTTAATTTCCAAGTGGGCAGATGCACTCTGCAGTATGTATACTAAGGGCTACCCACCTGATAAATGATCATCCAAACATATCCTGTCTTAAATCCACGTGGCTTGATATTTTGACAACTGTCTGCATTACGTTATCCTTATTTATTTCTCTATTTAATATAAACTGAGGTGTGTTAAAACCATCCATTGATTTCGTCCAAATTATTTTTCTTACAAATAACAACTGATTCTCTTCAAGCTGATTTGTAGCCCATATGATTTGATTTATGTCTCTATATCTTAAAATATTTGTCCATATTTTCATTTGACCAGATAATGAAAAGAACATGAAAATTTGGAAAATACAGGGTTCTGACCTAGGATGAGGTGTTGAAACTCAATGCGATCAGCTAGTATTCCACCTTCAGTGAGCAGGCAAAGCTCCCAGCTGCGTCATTCCTTCCTTCCTGCAACCCCACCTAGAGCTGTGCAATTTATTCAACCAAAATGTTTGTTGAAGGGGGGAGGATTATCCTCAGTAGCTGTGCTGCCCCAGTTGGTACCTTGTGTGTATTCTTTTCTAACTGCTCCTTGTAGAACACAGGCATGCACAGCAAAAAAAAAAATAATAATAATAAAATAAAAAAGGGGGAAAGAAAAGAGAGAGAGAAAAGAAAAGAAAAGAAAACAAGAAATAAAGTGCTGCAAAAATAAAAGCCAGCAGCTGGCATAAAGAAAGTAAACTGCAAACGTTGAAGAGGGGATAGCTTAGGTCCTGTTACCAGTCCTTTTATGGCTTACCCCACTCAAATCCCACACAATGGCACAAATTTCACATATATAGGTGCTCATTTGGTTGGATTGAGATCTGCAGCTGCCTAAAAGAAAAGGTTCTCCAATGCATTCTCACCCAACCTACTGAAAATTAAAGCAAAGCAAATAGCAAACTTTTTCTGTCCTCTCTGCTTCCTTCTCAAAATGACTGTTGATGACAGGAAAGGGGAATTCCTTCCCAGGAGTACTGTGATTGGAGTTTCCAGGAGAGTTTGGGCTTCTCATTGGTGTTTGAACTGCCATTCTCCTTCTATTTTAGCCTTCCAGTTTCTTGTTACAGCATTACTTTCATTTCTCCTTCTTTTTAAATCCCTAAAGTGTTGAACAATATTTCTCACTTTGGAGAAATCCAGTTCAGTTCAAGTGCTGCTTCCAGCTTCTCACTTCATATTGTTCGGAAACTGACAAATATCCCTGCTTTACTTTGGATTCTGAATAACTTCCAAATCTGAAGCACATCTCTAGTATGTTTCACACCGTTTATACACAACTTACATCAGTGCAGCTGACAATACTACAACACAAATTAAAAATAAATTATACAGTAGTTTGCATGCCAGTGCCTGCATGGATTATAAACTCTTCTTTTTCTTAAGATCTCAGAAAGCTTTCATTGTGATTTGAACTCTGAACAATTCAAAGGATTTTTGCGATCCCATACACCGAGTGTTGACTCTTCTTCTCTATCGAGGTCTGCAGTATTTTCTGTAACATATCCCTCACCAGATATTTACTTAGTTGTGAAGGTAAGTCAGTTTGTATCCCAATTATGGTTTCTTTCTTATTCATATGTCCTGACTAAACACAACTGATTATAATAGAGGTGAAGTAAGATGATGGTGGCGCTGTGGGCTAAACCGCAGAAGCCTGTGCTGCAGGGTCAGAAGACCAAGCAGTCGTAAGATCGAATCCACACGACGGAGTGAGCTCCCGTCGCTTGTCCCAGCTCCCGCCAACCTAGCGGTTCGAAAGCATGCAAATGCGAGTAGATCAATAGGGACCACCTTGGTGGGAAGGTAACAGCGTTCCGTGTCTAAGTCGCACTGGCCATGTGACCACGGAAGATTGTCTTCAGACAAAACGCTGGCTCTATGGCTTGGAAACGGGGATGAGCAGTGCCCCCTAGAGTCGAACATGACAGGACAAAAATTGTCAAGGGGAACCTTTACCTTTACCTTTAAGATGATGTACATCAACTTTATGGAAAGGTGGTACATTCTTTAGATGTCACTGTATATATTGTGTGCAGTGGTACAACTAGGACTGGATTTCAAACTGAACTCCAAGGACCCACAACCCAAGGAGTCCCAGAGAGAGGCAGGGGATTCTCCTTGTCCCCGTGTAAATGGCTTCAGCATCAGGGCAGCGGTAGCAGACTCTGTTTTCTTCCTCTCTTCATTGTGGTAATAAGTTAGAATAAATAAAATAACAAATTGCCCATTCTCTTTTTGGTTAGTTCCCATTAGTTTGTAAACTGGTGAACAGTTTTCTTTTCCAGCACCCAGTCAGTATAGAAGCAGTTGTAAAGCAAATGATAAGTGTAAGGACAGGGGAGAGAGCATAGGAATGTTACTTAGATGTTTCACAGCTGAAGTAATGCACATGGCTGTTTAAATGGCAGATCTTTTAAGACTAGAAAGCCATGGGTGTACAGTAACCCAGCAAAGCAAAGCAAAGCGTGCTGCTTATATACCGCCCCATAGTGATTCAAGCACTCTCTAGGTTGTTTACAAGTTAATTATGCAGGCTACACATTGCCTCCCCAGCAAGCTGGGTACTCATTTTACTGACCTCAGAAGGAAAGAAGGCTGAGTCAACCTTGAGCCGCTACCTGGGATTGAACCCCAGGTCATGAGCACAGTTTTGGCTGCAGTACAGCAGTTTAACCAGTGCGCCACGAGGCAGAAGTACATTGACTGATCAAGGCTCCCTCCAACTAATATTCCTTTTCTCCTGTAATGACAAATTCACAGATGTTCTGCACTGTGACAATAGGTTATTACAGTAAGATCCCCATATCCATGGGGGATTGGTTCCAACTCCCCTCTGCGAACACTCAAAACCACAGATAATAACAAACATTAAAGGGGAAAAAAATCCAGAATTTTTAAAGTGTGCTACCAGAACTGATCACTAGAGGGTGCCAGAGACCATGCTGCGAATTCTTATATGACAATAATCCATATTATGGAATGATCTCTGGCTCCCTCTAGTGGCTAGTTCTGGTAATGCATGTGAATTTTTTTTTTTTATTTTTTCTTTTAAAATTTTTAATAGTGAAACAGCAGATATTGATCCCACCAATATGGGGGTCCTACTGTACATAGACATGATGATACTGCCTATGGGACTTATACTGCCTTCTCTAAGCTAGAAAGTGCTGAATTTGGATGACAGTGGCAAAACTTTAGAAAAACACAAGAAAATCATTCAAAGGCATAGAAGGACAGAAGAAATTCACCAATACCTTATTTTACAAGCCCACCATCTGCCATTTTAATGTTCTTCCTTAAACTCCCAATTTCAGTATAAAATCCTTTTTTTTTCTTCGTTTAAGGGTTTTACCCAATGCATATTTCTAGCGTTTGGCATCAAATAAGTATATCAGTTTGAAATGTGTAGCTCAAACCTGTTCAGTTGAAGGTTTTGTCATATACAACTTATTTCTTCTGTCTTACTCTGGGGAAAAAACTGCAGTGGTAACCTATCAAAGCTTGTCTTCTACTCTTTTTTCCCCTTCCTCTTCTTTTTTAAATCTCATTTGCTGAATTGAAAAACGTAGTTATATTATATTGCAGAGGTTACTGTACTATATAGAAGTTGAAACAAAGCAAATTATTAAATATGTTATTATCTGTCACTTAGATTTCTTTTTATTTATTTTCTTTTGGGGTGACAGATTGAAAAAGTCCTCCAGCAGGGAGAAATTGGAGATTGTTCAGAACCTTACATGGTTCTAAAAGAAAGTGATGGTGGTAAGGTAGGTATGACATAATAAGATTTTATAACTGAGAGTACATATAGTAGTAAGTATTCCTGTTTCAGCCTAAACTCATACCATAGGGCTGTTGTGAGTAAAACATAATCTGACTTGTGAGCACATCCCATTGAATTCAGTAGGAATTCTTTGGAATCAATACAGTGGTGCCTCACATTACGACGTTAATTCGTTCCAGCGAAATCGCTGTAGAACGAAAACGTCGTAATGCAAAAATAAAAAGCCCATTGAAGCGCATTGAAACCCTTCAATGCATCGTAATGCAAAAATAACTCACCGTCCAGCAAAGATCCTCCATAGGGTGGCCATTTTCGGTGGCTGTCTTGCGAGGAATCCGTCCCAGAAAACAGCAGGGAGCCATTTTATTTACCCAGTGGCCATTTTGAAACTGTCGATCAGCTGGAGGAAAATCGTTGTTTTACGAAGAATCGGTTCCCGAAGCAGGGAACCGATCATCGCAAAGCGAAAAAAACCCATTCAGACCATCATTTTGCGATCACAATTGTGATTGCAAAAAGATTGTCGTAATGCGGGGCAGTCGTAAAGTGAGGCACCACTGTATAGGTAAGCAAAGTTATGAGAAGAAAAAAATGTAAATTAAAGGGCCTCTATAAATAAGGAGTAGTGTTTGCCAGCTCACATTGAGGCTTTGCTATAATGCAAAAGTTCAAGAACTGTTTTAGACAGAGTAAAATTCCAAATCAGAACAATGGAAAGAAGTCTGGGTTCTCCTTTCTGAAACTCTTCAATGCTTTTGGGATGGCTTAATTAAGAACAAAGGTAGAGCAGTGGAGTGTTCCCATGCAACAGGGTTCCAAGCTTCCAGGCTGGGTTTTATCATGGTAGTGCAGCCCTTTCCGCAAGCCTATCTAAACCCCCTACATCTAGAGTTACCTTCTCTGGAACATCAATGTACCTTTCTGCCAAATGTCGGGTTCCGTGCCTTTTTGTGTATAGAAACTTTTTTGTTATCAGTGATCTCAGACTAGACAACAATCTGTGTTCTTGTATTTCAAAAAGTAGGAGGGTGAGAATTTCTATTCACCTCATTCGAGATCTCAGTGAGAAAAATAAGTTGGGTAGCTGAGAAAGCCCACGGGCAAATCACAGAACAGATAGATAGTTTGCTTGATGCTGAGGTCATTTGGCACTTCAGGGAGCTCCATGTTTAAATGGGAGCAGAGAGTTAAATTATTACTACTACTGTATTTCAAACTGATTTTAAAGAGCTTTTAATTTTAGCATTAACAGAAAACAAAACAACGTTGTGGTGCTTTAACAATTAATTGCTATATTTTAGTATAAGCCTTGGTGGAATATCATTCACTTCTTCAGACAAATGGTTTAGAATACAGAGATTACACAGTAAAACATTCATGCTGGATGAGTGCCACAACAGTTTTTCCTTTTCTTTCGAGTTTCTTGCTAAAATGCTTGCATAGACTAACACAGCTACAACTCTGAAAAGTACAACTATAATTTTACTGTATTTTAATGATGTAAATGGGCCTATTCTATTTTCATATTTGTCATTTTGATGCATTTTCATCTGCATTGTTTTAAATTATCCTTTGGCTGCCTTGAGTCGCCTCTTTGAGAGAGGGAGTGGTCCCTACCATCTTGAAAGAGGCAGTAATTCAGCCACTCATAAAAAAGCATAACCTGGACCCAAGACCGGTGGTTAACTACCGACCAGTAGCGAACGTCCCTTATTTGGGCAAAGTGTTGCAGCGGGTTGTGGCTGGGCAACTCCAGGCGCTGCCGGATGAAACAGATTTTCTGGATCCATTTCAATCGGGTTTCAGGCCAAGTTTTGGTACAGAGACTGCCTTGGTCGCCCTGTATGATGACCTTTGCAGGGAGAGAGACAGAGGGAGTGTGACCCTGTTGATACTCCTGGACCTCTCAGCGGCTTTC